TCGAAACTATGTATGCATGTATTAAAATTCAAGCAATTTTATAAAGGCAGTCGTATTAATATTACTAACTGAAAATAATAAATCAACAAGATTAACATATCCCAAATATTCCCATCAACACTAACTATAGGATGGCTCGTCAGAACCCAATCGCAAAAGATCCCTAGATTTTGAATTCCGATAGCTTAATACACCATCCCTTCCCGGCGTTATCCATTTGGCAGTCCTACTTTTATCCGTGTGTTGCAACCCTAACTTTATTAACTTGGGTCCGCAAATCAATAGAAATCGTTCACCAAATAGATATGAAGCCAGTCTCGGAGATTGTGGCCCAAAATCTCGGATTAGATTTTCTGCTTTACGTTTTATTCGGGGATCTAGTTAAACGGTGGGTTTTTGTGAGTATTTTGGGCTTTGTGTTAACTGACTATCTTTTTGATTAAAGGTTCTGCTCTCCTCTGCTAGAGTGTATGGGTCTTTTCTAAATACCCCCTTATACCAAGGCCTCAATGAAAACCAACGTAAATCACGGGTTCATGGGGTTACCGGAGGTTCAATCACCCCAGTCTTTGAATCCCCAACAATTATCAAATTCCTAATCCCCAGTAATGTACTCGTAACGCCTTTGGTGGTCCAGGTGTCCCGCCCATGGACATCGGCGGTGTCGATTGCTTACCATCAGGTACATACATAAGTCTGCTCGTTATCTCATAAAAAATAATAGAGTTTGTCATAATATGGCAAGCTGGGAGACTCTCCATGCTTGACAGGTAGATTTGCTTCGCAGTTTAAGTTTATGTGGTTTCTGTCTTACATTTGTCGTCCTTTTATCGACTCCAACGACATTCGTGGGAAGCGTAAACAATCTGACGTGGACAAATAAATGTATTGGAGGAATTAATGTATTTCTCTTAAAAAGGAATAAAGATGTGATATAACAGTTAGTTAAGTATTATTCCATACTACTTTCGCTACACGGTTTCATTGTAATAGTAGCATTATGATAAGAATGCGTAGCCATACACTAGACTTTGTACTGTTAACCGCCACGCGTTTGGAATCAAATCGCACATTAGAATATTATACAAGATAGTATTAAAATTATTCTTAAACGTTTGTTTTATTGCACCGACGATATACATTATTTTCCTTGAAGATATTTTAATTGTGGATTTGTATAATTTTAATAATACTTCTGTTAAGGCCAGCTTGCTATGTCGATGTCCAAGGTAATGTAATTGGCAACTTTGATTGAAATGATGCAAGCGTTAATTTCTTTTTTTAGTTTTTTATTTATTTATCGACCGCTGACATCGCAAGAGTTGCGGGGAGCCAGTGGTTGCGGGTGGCGAGTTGTCGTTTGACGTGGAGGACGCCTTTGTCCAGCAGTGGACGACTTTCGGCTGTTGATGATGATGATGATGATGATTTATTTTTATTTTTATCAGAATATTTATTAATGTGGCATGTATAAGTGAAAAAAATCGATCCATTGCAGCATAACCAATGGATGCATGCCACTAGCCAATGGATTTGACATATGTTTTGCCATAGTTTCATTGAATGTTAATGTCAATTCCTTACTTTCTATTTGAGTTCTACACCATTTGGTTCATATTTAGTATCATATAGATAGATAGTATCTGATTTTGAATGCACGAAATAATACACAGAACATTTGTATGTCCCGTATATAATAAAATATAACATAATTAATGTATAACTATATGTATATCGACAGTCATACATATATTCTGTTACTACATTTGTACGTGATTATATATTTTTGACTCATTAAAAGATCGTAATCGGTTATCTTTATGAACCACGTAACAATGATTCCGTTTATTTCTACCATATTATTCTAGTACTATAATTGACGTATACAATAAAAACAGTACCTATTGTACTTTTAGTACCTATTAACACACTAATTTAATATGAATTATCTGAATTAATAAATTCAGAAAGTAAGAAATACAAATTGAACCTTGAGACATGAACAATACGTCCTATTACACAAATTGAAGAGAAAATTTATAAAATATAGAAAAGCGTTCCTTCTATTTAACCTAACATTAAACACAGGGGTTCAATATGGCACACAAAAGGTTTTTCAAAGAGTAATGGCCAGAATTTTTTATATAAGAACCTGTTCAGGTAGATTGCTGACCACTTACCCGAAGTTTAAATATAAAACGGTACAACCAACCACGCGTGTAGAAAAAAAATATTGCCCCCAAAATCGCCCTTATTTGCTAACAAATATAGGTGATTTTCCCATCATGTTTTTAGCCTCAGAAATGTGGTTGAATATACGAAACTACGTACATTTTGTGCTAACGTAGACCATTTATTATTTGAACATTAGGGAATCCGATTTAATAGCCACGCTTTAGGTAGAAATAATCGTAGAGATGTTAGAAAAATATTTTTATGGATCATTAATTTCTTTCAACGTTTTCGGAGTAATTGGTATAAAAAATTTGATTGTGTGGTTCGGCCTGGATTCTATTGTAATAACTCTTGTTTGTTCTGCGTTTATCGTTCTACAAATTTTGATACCAATGATGAGAACAACGTCTTTTTTCAGAAAAAATTTACTACTTACATATAATAATTCCAATCATCCCGTAACTAATTTGGAAACGTAATCAGGAAACCTAGTAAGGTAATGGAAGATGAAAAAACGATTTCGAATTTCCTGATACGGAAATCTAATTCGGAAACCACGCATGTGCAGCGTAATCAGACTAAATTGGTAACGGAATTTACCTAGTTAAGGCTAGATCATTGAGTAACTTATCGTTATCATTATTAGCTGGAATATTTAACTGGTGAATGAATAAATATCTTCTTTTAAAAGACAGTTAAGTCATTACTTAACTCTAGGCCATCGCGGAGAACCTAACGGGTGACCGGGGCTCCGGCTCGAAGTCTAGGAGTAGGGACGAAGTGGTTTTAGTCAGTAAGAGTCTGTTACTCCCTTCCGCCTCACCCAGGCGGAAGAAGTCATTCGATGATTTTCCCCCCTTGAAAAAAAGGACATTGCCTAGAGTTCTCAGTTAGGTCACAAAATATTTAAAAGTTGCTGTTGTCTATCATATAAAATTACTTTGTCAGCTAATTATAATGACAATGCATTTTTACAGGAACTCATTTTGGCAAATACGTATAATTACATCGAATCGTGTGCTATTTTTGTTATTATTTTATGATTCTCGAAACAATTGGATTCAGACACAGTCTATGCGTGTTTCGTTATTATATTAATTCTTGAGATACAATCACTGTGCAACTGGCTGCCACGTTACGTGTTCGATTCTCGCACGGAGCAACTCTTTGTGTGATCCACAAATTGTTATTTCGGATCTGAGTGTTATATTGTATGTAAACTTGTAAACACATAAACATATTATAAATGCAACCATACATAGGAGAAAATCCTAGTGTGGGGCAAAGTTTTAAAAAATAATAACAAATTATTGGTAAATCGGATAGAGTCTATGTCAAGCCTTTACAAAACTTATACTAATATGTTATGTTACGACGACTGGTTCGTTGGCCGGGTGGTCGCAAGTGCGACTGCCGGGCAAGGGGTCTCGGGTTCGATTCCCAAATCAGACAAAATGTTATTGAGTTTTTTAAAAGTTCTCAGTAGTAGCATGGAGGCTGGAATTGTGGTATATAGCAATAGGCTCACCCCCTATTACATGGGACTCATAACATAGATAGTGAAAAGCGGATGTTACATTGCACAGTGGCATTAAGTGTCGTAATGTGCACCTCTGCCTACCTCCCCCGGGGATAAAGGGCTATTTATCTATCATACAAAAGAAATCTACTCAAGTAACATTATATAGACTAGAATTCAATCTAACGTAAGAAAAACAATAAAAATCGCTCAACTGTAAGTAGTTCTCAAAACATTAAGTTGTCTAATGATCCGGTTTTTTACACAACATTATTATATGAATTATTTTGCATCGCAAACTAATGACAATGTAATGAAGCTTGTCATTGTTTCAACCTCTTTGTTTTTAACGAACATATTATTCTCTTAACCTCTAAATGGGTAGACAGAAATGCACAATTCAACGTTAACAATATAGCATATACTTATGAAGTTATCATATTCATAAATAACCACAGTTATGTCATGAGTTGTCGTGGTAGCCCGGAGGTTTAAGACACCCGCTTGTCATGCATGAGGGTGCGGGTTCGAAACCTACCAACGGCAGGTACCAGTGTGACTTTTTCCGAGTTATATGTACTTTCTAAGATTATTGAGATACCACTGACCCACAGTGAAGGAAAACATCGTGAGGAAACCTGTGCTCATAATTTCTCATTATAAGTTTGAAATCGTCAACCCGCATTGAGCAAGCATGGTGATTAATGCTAAAACCTTCTCCGTGTGAGAAGAGGCTTTGCTCAGCAGTAGGCATTATAGGTTTTTGATGATGATGATGATGTCATGAGTCCTATGGGATTTGAGGTTATTGACATGTTATTATACTGATCACAATACAATAATCAACTCTACATATGTTGTCACTAAAATCTTTCCAAAGAAAAGTTTTCATCTCTGTACAAACAACCCGAGAATTTAACCCGAAATTCCTTACTTAACAGTTACGTTGCATGATGAGGCAGTAGATTTTTTACATAACGTTATTATGAACGAATTATCTGCCATTAAATACTAATGATATGCAACTATTGTCATTGCTTCGACCTCTTAAAATGTTCAGAAATCATTGACCTGCCCAACGCCCATCTCCTGTCTACATTTTATACCAGACAAATGATCGTAAAAGAGCTATAAAAGTGATAAATGGATTTCTCAGTGCACCCAACCGCGTGAAACAAAAAAATAGCTATTTAAACCGTTTTAGATAATATTTTTACTATCTCGTTAAACGCAAACCGAATTTAAATTTGCACATTTTGAAAGTGTGATTTTTAATTTTGATTAATGTGTTTTTTTTTTGTTACAGGTCTGTCGGAGATAACGGTCTGATAATAACCAAAGGTAATATATGCAGTGATATTTATAGTACAGATAAATCCATTAATTATAATTACATCAGCAAATACTAAAATGTATTTATAACTGATTTTACAAAAAAACTCATCTCAGTCACAGTTGTCTTCTTTTTGCAATTTGGGCACATTTGGGCACATACACACACGCGCGCGTGCGAATATGATTATTACATAATACATTGTCAGCTATTAAGTGCACTATACTCAAGACCAAGCGAATATTCATTGTCATTAAACCAGATTCATTATTTCTTTTCTATTAATCATCTCAAACAAAGCATTTTAATTCTAATTAAAATATTCACACAACTATCTTAACTACATCAACACCTCTACACACAATGGTTATTCTAAATCGAATCTTAAATATAAGTAGACAAGATTTATAGTCAATAAACTGGAGTCGAGTGTCGAAATATTGTTTATTTTACATTCGATTAGAGTTTGATGATTCAAACATCAATCGATTTGAATTTGATATCGATACCTAATATTTGATGTAAATTAGTCGGATTCAACTAATTGACGCGTTATCTTAATTGTGTGCGTTGCTAATTTGATTAATTGATTTGTTATTAGTTATTGTGATTCTAGTATTAGGTATGTCAGTCTGTTATTCCCCAGTTTGAGATTTTGTTATTGTAATAAGAAAGTCTGGTTGTAACCAATTTTTTTAAAATTTGAAAATGTTTAGACTACGCATTGATATGGCTACCAATTTCAATTTTTATCTTCTGTTGATAATAAAGCCAATCTGTTCTCAGCCACTACTTTTTATTTATATAGTATCTATATTTTATTTATATATTATATATACTATATATTTATATAGTATCTATATAAAAAAACGAATATCCGTTCGTCAATCTCGCTAAAACTCGATAGCGGCAGAACCAATTTTGCTAATTTTGGTTTTGAATTATGGTCTTTGAAGTCCAGGGAAAGTTTAAAAGGTGAGAAAAAGTGACAAAGTTTACCGGGTCAGGTAGTCAATTATAAATTTAACTATACATTATACAGTTTGTTAATAAAAATTGATTACATTTTCGATACAATAATTTGTGGATCAAGCTAAGAATTTTTCCAAGCATTGTTCGTTAAGCCATGACGCGTTGCGCATTAGCCGAACGACCAGCCACTGCGTCACGCGTGCAGTCATGCATTCATTATAATTTTAACTAGCTACTTCCGCGCGGTTTCACACGCTCTGCTCAGCTCCTATTGGTCGTAGCGTGATATTTGAGCCTATAGCCCTCCTCGATAAATGACCACTCGACATGGAGAAGGCGTTCGACCGCGTCTGGCACGCCGGCCTGCTCAGCAAGCTGGCCACATCTACTACTCCTCGACGACTAGTTAAGATCGTGGCCACCTTCCTGCACGGCAGAACCTTCCAAGTGGCAGTGGAAGGCACTCTGTCGACCGAGCGGAACATCCGTGCCGGCGTGCCCCAGGGAAGCTGCATCTCACCTGTGTGCTACTGCGTGTACACGGACGACATCCCCGTCGCGAGCGGCGTCAAACTAGCGCTGTACGCCGACGACGCCGCCTACTACACGACATCAATGAACCCGAGGCACGCAGTAGTTAAACTACAGCGCGCCCTAGATGCACTCCCTGAATGGCTGGAGAAGTGGAGACTGGCTGTGAACGTGGCCAAGACTCAAGCGCTCGCCGTGGGGATCATGAAGCCGACACCCATGACACTCATGGGAGAGCAGGTCCGGTGGGCGCCGAGCGTTAAATACCTCGGCGTGACCATCGACCGCTCGCTCTCAATGACGCCCCACGTGCAGCAGGCTGTTGCTCAGGCGCGCGCCGCGCGTTGCCTCTTGCGCCCGGTGATCGACTCGGCGCTGCCTCTCCGTGCGAAGCTCGGTATCTACAAGGCCTACATTCGGACACGGCTCACCTACGCCGCCCCGGCATGGTACGCGCTCGTGTCCGAAACCAACAAGAAACGCCTCCGTGCGCAGCAGTCACTGTCGCTGCGCACCATCGTACAGGCCCCGCGCTTCGTACGGAACGCGACAATCGCCCGAGACCTCGGCGTAGAGAGCGTCGACGCATTCGTGCAGCGCCTGAGCACCACACTCTTCGAGCGCTCCGATCGGTCGCGGCACGACCACCTCCGGGAGCTGGCGCCCTACCACCGGCGCCCCCCCGACGGCTTCGGCCTCCCAAGAGACCTGGTCGCGCTGACCGACCCATCGGACACCGCGTGAGACTCCCGCCCGCCCGCTGGCGGGTCGGTAGAGTCTCCGCCCCCACCGGACACGACCGCGCGCCGCTACCAACCCGCCGCTCGCCGGGCTCCCCCCGGCTCGAGCGCGGCCTCTAGCGGCGCCCCCACTGGACACGACCATGCCCCGCCAACAGCCTGCGGCTCGCCGGGCTTGCCCGGCTAGAGCGCGGCCCATGGCGGGGCAAACCACCGGACTCGACACCGCATCGGGCCCCGCAAGGAGCCCGACTAACCCAACCCCTCGCCTGCTGTAGCAGGCAGCGAGCGCATCCGCCGAGACAGGCATCGGCCTGGAACGCGCGACCTCGCGCCCCCTGCCGGGGACGCAGAGAAGACTCGACGGCGA